TCGCTATCCTGTCACTTTCTGTAACATTTATTATAAAAAACACACACTGATTGTTTATCGATTTTTGTGTTCATCACTACACTATTATATGTGGTATCATTATTTCACAAAATGACAGTAGCTATTGTCAAATCTGGAATCTAATTAAAATTCTGACTATAGAGTTAGAAACAGAATTCAGAAATAACCTCCAACAAAAAACTGTCAAAATTTAATTATGTTTATCGGCTTACTCACGTGATTATTTCACGAGGAAAAAAAATTATATTTGTTACAGCAACAAGACTCGTCGCCGCATCGCGTGTCGCGGCTTGACACGAGTCGAGTTCCTCATCAAATAGTTACGTATACCAAAAAACATAATAATTAATTTAGTATGTCTCACGAAATATATAACATAACATCACGCCTTTTATCCCCGAAGGGGTAGGCAGAGGTGCACATTATGCCACTGTACAATGTAACACCCACTTTTCACTATTTATGTTATGAGTCCCATGTAATAGGGGGTGAGCCTATTGCCATATACCGGGCACAATTCCAGACTCAATGAGAATATTTAACACTTTAACTGCCAAGTAATACTTTGCCCGACCCGGGAATCGAACCCGAGACCCCTTGCCCGGCAGTCGCACTTACGATCACTCGGCCAACGAGGTATTATAACAGTTACAGCTATTATTGGAATTCCCAGCTTCTGTCAGCTACTTCGTCCGCGTTACCGTAGGACAAAAAATAGCCTTTTTTTAAGCGGTGATAATCATCGAATGACTTTTCCCGCCTGGGTGAGGCGGGAGGGAGTGTCAGACTCTTACTGACTAAAAACCACCCCGTTCCTTCTCCTGCACGTCGAGCCGGCGGGAGCAGACGTTCGATGATTTTCCCCCCTTAAAAAAAACACCTTGGACGAACAAATAGAGCAACTAGAGATCTATTCTATTTTAACAAATTATTAACTAAAAATCGCGGGTTACTCACGTGAATATACTGAGAAAAGCTCTACTAGTTTCGAACCACAGAGGGGTTCTTCCTAATGAGTAGGGTGATTTTTAGTTAATTTAGTGTGTCCCACGATAGTTATTATAAAAACTTAACAAATTATGCGGTACGATATTTATTTCATGCTTTGACTTTGTCATTACAAGAAAAAATCGACTGTACAGCTTCGGAACTAAGTTCAATTTCCACTGAAAATTTATATTTATAAAGACTTCAGTGCCAACAAGATATCTTTGCAAGCTCTATAATTTTGCAAATAAGTTAAAAATCGATCGCAGTTATAGAGTAGATGACTTATTTTTATTTTAATGTCCGTCTGGTAGATTTTTTAAAATCATTAGACACGTATTTTTTATTTTCTTACGGAAAGGGATACTTTCGACGATATATTGATTTGAAATGCCACGTGACGTCACTTCTATATACATTTTATACGTAGAAATGACGTTTTAGCCCCCACTCGTAAACTTTGATTCGTTTTATCTAAGTATTGTTTTATTATACGACAAAAGGAGAGGCCTATGTCCAGCAGTGGACGAATACAGACTGATGATGATGATGATGATGATACGACAAAATAAAAAAATACGTGTCTAATATTTTTCCATTACCTAGCTTACGGACTAATTAGATTTTTAATTTTCATACCTTGTCATCGTCCCAAATTATATTCTACGGGCCAAAAAAGCTACCACAAGATAGAAATCCCGTACCATCAAACGAGAAGTCGTAATACCGTCAAATGTTCGAATTGTCTTCAAAATATGTTTGTGTCTCCGCTGAGCTAAAACTAAGTAGCACATCGGACTTAACCGAAGTCTTTGGCTCCTGAGTTTGAGTCTCCGTAGAAATAAAATTAATACTAGCAGGACTCGAGGACAAACTATCAAATATCTTAAAGCTCCTCCCACCATCATGGCAGCAACAGGTTTGAGTTTCTTTAAAATTCAAGTCCGGGGACTGCGTTTGTGAGCTCAACGACTGAGTTTCTTTGTTCGAACGACTCAACCCAAACTCTACGGGGAACGTTTGAGTTTGTATATCAGAGAGGGAAACAGCCTCTGAGAAAAACATATCATCTTCACTGTTTTGTGATTTTAAGCTTAACAAGTCTTCGAACGCTACCTGGGTTGATATTTCATCCGTCTTCGTTTCATTCTGAGCCCAAGACGGTAAAGCCACATCGTTGTTAATATGCTCAGGAATTTGTGTAGCAAACGATTTCTTTGGACTATCACAGAAAGCATCTTTGACTTTAGTAGCTTTAGAACTTTGCTCGTTGAAATTCCAAGTTTCTGTCACGGTTTCAGCATTAATCTCTTCCGAGACCAAAGTCTCTGGTTTCTTATTCTTCTTTTTTAAATCTGTATCGTTTTCCAGCTTTCTCTTTTCAGCCTTTTCAGCTTTATACATCTGATGTACGTTGGGATGCTTTCTCTTTAGATGCACCATCAATTTTTCATTCGTATTATACTTCGTATCACACATTTGACATATAAAAACATAGTTACAGCTTTTAGAATGCCTTTGAAAATCAGTTTCAGTTGGAAAACATAAACCACAGTCGTTGCAAAGAAAAGATTTAGTTTTATGAACCTTATTAATATGTTGGTTCAAAAACTTCCTTCCGGTGAACCATTTTTGCTTTCCCGAAGACACGTGGTAGACACAAGATTGTTCTGCACAGAAATATTGCATTTGTATATCAATAATTTCTGATAGATTGTGTGTTTTTTTCAAATGTGCTTGGAGATCGCTCTTTTTAAGGAAGTTCTCTTCGCAGTGGTACGGGCAGGGGAGACGGATTCTGGAATCGGTCTTCGGTGCTGTTATTTGTATATGTAATCGTTTGTCACGTAATACGCAGGTGACTTGATTCCTATGTCCTTTCTGCGGTTTGTTTTTTATCTGTAAATTGAAATGATAATTGTTAGAAAAGCGACCAGTGCTGTATATTATGTATTTATCGAAATAAAAGTCATGAAAATCTGTTTATTTGTTTTTGAGTTACAAATGCCGGAATACTGAAACGTTACTCAATTTCAAGTTGAGCTTAAATATCATGCCATCTCTGTCATTTTGCAAGGAATTTGTTGTGACAGAACTATATTTAAACTGTCAAACAACAAGCGGTCACCGGTGACCGCAACCTATTGTTCTATAATCGTGTCTATAATGACGGTACTTGACGAATTAAGCGCTATTTAAAATTGAGTAACGTTTCAGTATTAGGGCATAACTAACACACGCATTTAGTTATTGTCTAATTTTAATCAACATAACTTCATTTATCCCCGAAGGGGTAGGCTGAGGTGCACATTATACCACTGTACAATGTAACACCCACTTTTCACTATTTATGTTATGAGTCCCATGTAATAGGGGGCGAGCCTATTGCCATAAACAGGTCACAATTCCAGACTCCGTGCTACTAGGTAGTGAGATTTTTTTTAACCCAGTAATATTTTGCCCGATCCGGGAATCGAAACCGAGACCAGTTGCTCAGCAGTCGCACTTGCGACTACTCGGCCAACGAGGCAGTAATTTTAATCAACTTTCTACCCAATTAATACATAGTTAGGCTAATTTTATTTCTTACACTATAATATAACAAAAAAAAGTACAGAATCAAAGATCTAGTATTCTAGAGTAAAAATCTTGCAGGTAAACAACACATGCAATTGAGAACTTGTCAACTAGTCAAATTCAATACTTTTTTCATTAACTGTCAAAAACGACAGTTTTCTATGAATTTTGTAAGAGATTGTGTATTGTGACGTCACGTTTGTTTTAGCGACAAACAGAATACTTATTTCTTTAAAATTTGCTGGAAAGATACTAAAAGGAAGTTGGTCATAAAATCAATTATTGAAAGTGTGATTATTTTTTAACTCGTCGAGTACCGTCATTATAGACACAATAATAGAACAATAGGTTGCGGTCACCGGTGTCCTCTTGGTGTTTGACAGTTTAACTCGTCGAGTACCGGTTTTGTAGACACAATTATAGAACAATAGGTTGCGGTCACCGGTGACCGCTTGGTGATTGACAGTTTAATCTTTTATTGTGTTGAACAGTTTTTTTTTTCTTTAGTTATTTAGAGGCTTTTCTCTTACAAAGGTATGTCAGCCTCATCAGTGTTGAACAGTTGAAATAATTTACTTTTGATTAAGGTCAGTACCCAATTACAATCATAATACTTGTCAATTTTTTTTTAAATGACTTTATTTTTGTCATGTCCATCTCTGCATACCCTCCTGAAATTAAATGTCAAAGACAGAACAACATACCTTATTAACTGTTAGTGTAGATTTCAATATCCGGTCTGAGAGCTGACATCTATCCTGAAACTGCTTGCAGCTGATGAGGGCCGCTTCACAGGACGAACAGAGCAGCTCTGATATACCTGGTCTTCTGCTTGTCTGCAAGGAGTATCAATGTTATTTAAAACTCTTTTGTTACTGACTGAGAAAGTAACAGATTGTACACACTACACAGCTCTTACTCAGAGATATTATCTTATAGGAATAAGAGCTCGGAACACGAAACTACGATGCGACATCGCATCAAATGTGCGAGCTCCCTCTACGCATTGCAAGAACTTGCGAATTATAACTTCCGAATATCTGAATTCTTGTAGTTCCTACGTCTTTATAGCAATGAGATATGAAACTAATTCTGTTATTAAGTAATTATTTATGTATTAATTACGGTTTATCAAAAACCATAATAATTGATAACATAACAGGCCGAAAAGGGCTACATTATAAACGCACCTCTTTCGAGCCCTACCTAAAATAGATTCTACAATTATTATTTTTTGTTAAATTGATACACAAACTTACTTCAATAGTAGTAACACGAAAATAATCGTCGTGAATGCCCCATTCATAAATATTTTTCATTTCTCCCGACTCCGCCAGACAACCGCGACAGACCACAGCCAGTCGACTGAGCGGGATATCTAATTTAGTAAATGGTACAGTCATTTTGTACTATTTGCTGGTTTAAAAAACAATAATAAACACAATTTTACGCCGACATAGCACTTTTATCGTGAAATTGACAGCTAAAAAGTGACATTTCAAATTGGAAAATATTGATAAAACAGTACGTTTCGTACGACGTAAAAAAAGTGAAATACTATTATTTTTAAATATGTTTTTGATGAGCAAAGTTAAAGGTACATAAGTTAAGATTAATAGCGGCTTATTTATTGTAAAACTTTATTTTTTATCACCAATTCGTGGTGAAATCTTATTTATAAGACCTATTTAGTTTTCAAAGATCCTTTGATATTCTGATTGCAATGGATCGCTGTTATCATTTTTGTAACAGCGTTCAAAATAAATAAATGGGTTACAAAGAGAGAACAGTAAATAAAAAAGTAGTTTTGTTTTATAATGATCAAGTTTGTGAACATTAACGACTTCGTTATACATATTTATTTATTTTGATTTATGTACCTTGAAAAATACATAGACCTTATGATGCCAACTAATGCCATAAAATCTATAACCATAAAATATACTGGCTGTAGAAAAGCCAATAAATAATTTGAACGACGAACTGACTCGTCATTTTGACAACTCTTTTGGCTCAGCTAAATTTACAAGAGTATGATTGTCTAGTAGAAAGGTAATATAATCATTATTTACATTAATTTCACAGAAAATATCGCACGCGAATTTGTAAAAAAAACGCCGGTTGGTATTTTACAACGAAGTCAGCCGTGAATCGTCCACGTTGGAGCGCGCATACTTCAGAGCGGTCGCCATTTGCGCCACGAATACTGGCTGATGATCTTGTGTGTGAAATTGTGAAATTGGAGGTTATAGTGCTTATTTTAAAGTTATTTGTGCATCTGTTTCGTAGCAAACAAATTTTGAGGACTGTAAACTTATATCCAACGCTGTAGGCACAATAAGTGCGTCAAATGAGTGAGTATCTTGGATTTAGATTACGTAGCAAGACTACGCACACGTGCAGGTTCCAATATTTTCCGATTTGAATTGCATTTACACGGTACTGAAGTTAGATTTGTAATCGTATTTGTTCACGAATGTGGTGTTAAGGAATTTCTATGTAAAATCGATTAAAACGAAAGTCGGTCAATTAATTATTTTGGTTTGTAGGTTGATCTATTTTTGGCCTCTCGTATGCACTATTGTTCACTTTTAATTTTTTATTTACATCTGCGCGGAATTTAATCGTGTTGTGTGATGTAAATAGCGTACGTGGAAAGTTCCGCTTTAAAGTAGAAAGTGGAATATTTAAAATAATCAGGACACCTTTCATTTGTTGACATTAAATTTCATAATATTATCGCGAACTTACGTTTGCAAGTACGAAATCTTTACTGCAAAACATTTAGCATAGATACGACATATTGTTTTTATAACTTTTTAATTGTACTGCACATTGGATAGGTTGTATTATTATTCAGCCAGTTCATGACCCTTTTTCCTCAACACACATTATCACTCAAGCATGATTCTGAATGATAATGAGAGAAGAAATGAATAATTTTAGCTTCGAAAACTAAATTACTGTAAAACTTGTATTCATTTACTTTTTGCATTCATTTAAAACCTCTTTCACTCCCATCTCATGCTTTATGGTATCAATCTAGTATCTAAAATTCATATGAAGAATTGGGTTTTTCGGCGGGAAATCGGGAATTAATCGTTGTTTTGTTTTATTTATTTTTATCTAATCATAAGTTTGTAAATGTTAAGGGCTTTCCCAGTTTTGTATCAATGACCTCTACTATCTTATTTTGTTGATATAAAAGTAGGTTTCTATAATAATCTTAAGATAAACAGTCAACTATTTATCAACTCATACTTGGCTAGTCTCTGGCCTCTGGATACAAATAAAAATAATTATATTTCAGTTCAAACTTTGCTTAACATAGAGTGAATAGTTGATCTTACCTTTTAATGGCTCAATATTGGTGTTACATTGTTTTCCTATAATTGAAACAACGAATCAATGTATCCAAGAATTGTGTTATGAACCTGATTGAAAAAGAGTAGCCTATGGAGTTTCTTGTTCATTCTTCTCCATAGGAATCTACACTTTGCACAAGAACAAGCTAATAGGCCAACTAGAGGACTAACCGACATGTTGACATGTATTTAATATTTTGTTTGACATTCAAAAGTGCCGTTCTGTTCTGGTCTAATTGAAATATATGATTTTGACTTTGAATTGAGTAATAATAGTTCTTGTTCTTTAATACATATATTTAACTAGCTACTTCCGCGCGGTTTCACATGCTCTGCTTAGCTCCTATTGGTCGTAGCGTGATGTTTTATAGCCTATAGCCATCCTTGATAAATGCACTATCCAACACAAAAAGAATTATTCAAATCATACTTGTAGTTACGGAGATCAGTGCATTCAAACAAACAAAAAAAAACAAACTCTTCCGCTTTATATAATAGTATAAGATACGAAATTTATTAATAGTACAAACGTTAGTAAATTATATAATTTATTTTTGAGTGATAACTTTCTTCAAATAATAAGTCTGTAATCACTTATCTGACTTGAGCAAATATCCTGATTAGCTGTTCAGTTCCCAAGTGGTCACCGTAACTCTATATAGACCTTATTTCCCATGTTTAGAGACTACTTTTGTTTGAAGAAATTTTTGGTATAATATGTATATCAATGTAATAATGTTCACTCCTCCGTGTAAGAGGCCCTTTGGTCAGCAGTTGGACATGAACAGGCATGAAATGAAGTTTATAATGGATATGATGGTGTGTAGTACTAAACACATACCTATAGGTTAGTTTTTATTTCAAAAGAATGTGAGAGAAGCCGCTGTTATAAGCTAGTATATAGGCTATTTACAGAAATATTTCATTCATTAACTCGTTGAGTACCGTCATTATAGACACAATTATAGAACAATAGGTTGTGGTCACCAGTGACCGCTTGGTGTTTGGCAGTTTAAAAGATATTGTATAATTTTTTTCTAATTCGCATAATTTTTTTTTTTCATTTTGGCAACGGAGTCTCCAATACAGTGATGCCGACTATACTGCCAGTGTCGATGTCGATCGCATAATATTATGATGAAGTCACATACAAAATTTTCGTAGAAAAGTACCATTTTCCACATTTTGACCTGTCATTGGACAAATAGGACCTCGTTCTATGTTCACTACAACATGTACTCTTATTGGCATTGACCAGTATTACATTGTTGCAATAAAGGTTTTGTTATTCTAGTAGTATAATTGGAAGATTACAGTCATCCTGAACGCGGTCTTGTCATCTGGGTCTGAAGTTACTATAGTAAAATCCTTTATAAATATGTTTAGAAAAACCGACTTTAACCCTTGTTTTTGTGAAGTCAGTTAATATCTCGCGAAGGGCCGATTTAGCCATCAGACCACCACGGATCCCAACAGGGCTGATGCCGATACGGATCTGCGTAAAACTTAACGGGTTACCGGGGCTCCGGCTCGAAGGACAGAAGTAGGAACGGGGTGGTTTTTAGTCAGTAAGAATTCACCAGGAATTAACCAGTTTCGGTCGGAAACTAGTATGTGTTAAAAACAATATTAGTGTTACTGGAATGACAGTCCATTTTGTGATAGCAATGTAGGTTGAAAGAAACTGAGGTACAAGTCTATGACTGCACTGTTGGTGCGGTGTTTGGGCAACAGGCTGTCGCGCAGTGTAGTAGGTTCGATTCCCACACGGAGCAAGCTCTTAGTTGTCCACCGATTGTTGTTCCGGGTCTGTGTGTGATGTGCATGTGAACTTGTATGTTTGTAAACGCACCCACGACACTGGAGAGAATCCTAGTGTGGCGCAAACCTGAGGAGTATGTTTGTTTGAACGCGCTAAACTCAAGAACTACTGGTCGGATTTGAGAAATTATTTTTGTGTTGGATAGCCTATATATCGAGGAAGGCTAGGCTATAAAACATCTCGCTACGATCAATAGGCGCCGAGTAGAGCGAGTGAGACCGCGGGGAAGTAGCTAGTTTTAAATATGAAGCTATAATTGGATGTCCAAATAAATAAGGGCTCGTACACATATGCGAGCTCCCTCTACGCATCGCAAGAACTTGCGAATTGATTCGCATCGCGCATCAAAATTATCTTCCCAAAATCTTCTTTGTTTCTTTTTTCTGTATCTCCTAAGCAACAACAGAAGTTTTCACGGTTTCACACGCTCTGCTCAGCTCCTATTGGTCGTAGCGTGATGTTTTATAGCCTATAGTCATCCTCGATAAATGCGCTATCCAACACAAAAATAATTATTCAAATCAGACTTGTAGTTACGGAGATTAGCGCGTTCAAACAAACAAACAAACTCCTCAGGTTTATTTAATAGTATAAGATACTAGCTACTTCCGCGCGGTTTCACACGCTCTGCTCAGCTCCTATTAGTCGTAGCGTGATGTTTTATAGCCTATAGCTATCCTCGTTAAATGCGCTATCCAATACAAAAAGAATTATCCAAATCAGACTTGTAGTTACGGAGATTAGCGCGTTCAAACATTAAAACAAACTCTTCCGCTTTATCTTTATAGAATTAATATAATTCTTCTGTGAGTGTGTATGTCACTGAACTACTCTCAAACGACTGGACCGATATTGATTCAATTTTTTTGTGTTTTCAAGGGGATCTGGGAATGGTTTAGATTCACAAATCAGCCCGGCAGATGGCGCTGCAGTCGATGTTTACGTTATTTATCCTAAACAGCTGAACTAATTTAAATGAATTTTTGTTTATACATTCAAGTGGATATGCAGGACAACGTCTGTTGGATCCGCTAGTATAATATAATACTTAACCCATAAATCCCCAAGCGGTCACCGGTGACCGCTTTCCACTAATATTACATTACATTATAGACTTTATTTCTAATGTTTAGAGACTGCTTTTGTATGACCAAATTTAGGGGATGGATTTCAACGGATTAATATTGTATTTCTTTGTTTTCAGTTGCCGAGATCACCAGAAATGAAGATAGCTACCACTCCAGCATACAGACATATTAACTCATTTTGTATACAAGGCACATGCCCCAGTACATTTTAAGTTTGAAATAACTAAGTCTATAAATTAACGCTTTAAGTTTTTTTGTTTTTGTTTTTAAAAGTAGTACTAAGATTATTCTTATATTATAAATATGAAAATACCGGAGACTTCAGCTAACGTTGGCGCTTATTACGGCAATGAGGAGAATGGACACTGGCAGGTTTGTACATTTATTGTTATTTATAAAATACAGTCTCGCTGGCCGGAGTGGTTGCAAGTGCAAAGTATTGCGGGTCGGGCAAAGTATTACTGGATTTAAAAGAATTTAAAAAAATTGACAGTATTAGCACGGAGTCTGGAATTGTGCCCGGTATTTGGCAATAGGCTCACCCCCTATTACATGGGACTCATAACATAAACAGTGACAAGTGGGTGTTACATTGTACAGTGGCATTAAGTGCCGTAATGTACACCTCTGCCTACTCCTTCGAGGATTAAAGGCGCGATGTTATGTTATAAAATAATGTCGTATTAGTTATCAAACTATTTATAACTTAAAAATGGCTAAATCTATATTATAACTTTCGTGTTTTTCTTTTTCATTTCTTGATATATTTTTTTAAACGTTGCCCCACACTAGGATTTTCTCCTGTGTCGTGAGTACGTTTACAAACATACAAGTTCACATACACATGACACCCAGACACGGAACAACAATTTGTGGATCACACAAAGAGTTGTTGAATCGAACCCGCGACCTGTTGCGAGGCAGCCAAGTCTTTGATTAATAAAAAAAGATCTTTGATCAATGATACTAAATAAATTATTATGTTTTCGACTTACTCACGCAATAATTTGACGAGGAGCTCGACTAGAGTTTCAAGCCATGTTAGAGGCTGAATATGAGCTACTAGCATCATAATTTACTTCCTAACAACATATCATCGCCTTTTATCCCCGAAGAGGGTGTACATTATGCCACTGTACAATGTAACACCCACTTTTCACTATTTATGTTACGACTCCCATGAATTTACTTTCTGTAGGGTTAAATTAACATTTTAAACTGTCAAACACCAAGCGGTCACCGGTGACCGCAACCTATTGTTCTATAATTGTGTCTACAAAACCGGTACTCGACGAGTTAAACTTGTAATCTGCACCATAATCTTTCTTCTTCCAGCCAAACGGCGTCATAATAGACAGCGGAGTCGGCGGCGGCGTTGTTGGTAGCGGTGACGCCGGCATACATCGCCCGCCTGTCTACCCAGTACATATACCGCGCGCACATATGCCTGGTAAGTGTTTTTTTTTAGAGGGAAAATCGTCCAAAGTCTCCTTCAGCCTTGAGTTAGAGAGTCAGACTCTTACTGACTTAATGCATAGAGCCGGAGCTACGAATGAATTTAATGAATAATTGATTTGATTTGATTTAAGTTGATTTGATTTAATTTTATTTAATTATTTTTGATTTTATTTGATTTAATTTGATTTGATTTGGTTTGATTTGATTTGATTTGATTTGATTTGATTTGATTTGATTTGATTTGACTTGATTCAATTACTTGCCAATAATTGAATTATCCGTCCGCTTGTCTTCAGTGAAGCTAGGCGCTTCCAAAGTATAATTTCGAATGGAGAAGAACGAGCAAGAAACTCCATCGTTACTCTTAAAAAATGTTTTTTATAGTCACATTGATATATTATCTGATTTTGTATATATATGTGAGAATATAACGATATATCTCTTTCTCCAGGCTACGTAATGGCAGGCGCATACTACCCCCCTGCGGCGTATCCGCCCGTCCCAGCCCAGCCACAACCAGACGACTTCGCGGACTATATGTGGATGGAAAACGAAGAGGAGTTTGACAAACAGGTCAGTTTCAACATTCGCCCCTACTCTGGGCTGCTTACAAAACTCTACAACCACAATCGTAGCCGTTACAATAGCATTTAGAGTACGGAATATAAAGACAAACTCAATACCATTTAGTTTATTCAATATAATACTTTCCTAAATTTTATTTTAATGTCCGTCTGGTACATTAATTTAAAACATTAGACACGTATTTTTTTTTCTCAGAAAATTAATTACTTTCGACGATATATTAATTTAAAATATCGTGTGACGTCACAGCGTGCCACATTTTGTAGCACGTTATGACGTAACGTCCCACTCCTAAACTTAGCGCCATTTTATCTAAGTATGGCAACTTATCTCGTCGAGTACCGGTTTTGTAGACACAATTATAGAACAATAGGTTGCGGTCACCGGTGACCGCTTGGTGTTTGACAGTTTAATACGAGAATATAAAAAATACGTGTCTAATATTTTTTCATTATCTAAATGACGGACTAATTAGATTTTTAATTTTCATACCCTGGAAAGTACCCAATTATTGAGATTTTCTTGGATTGAAATTGCATTGACATTGAGATTGAGATTGGTTTCAAGAGTAAGCACCTTGGATCCATAATATATCTTTATTATGATGTTATCTACATATAATTATTTGGGAACAATACTAATAATTATTGTCTCTGACAGGTGATGCAACAGCTAGAAGAGGAGGCACTAATGGAGCAATGTATAGAAGCCATGTTGGAGGATGAGCAGAGAGAGAGACATAACCGACCCACCGCCAATGGCCATAATCATCAGCACTATCCTACGTGAGTCGCTATTTATTTCTATGTACTTTTAAAGGCACATCCCATCGCACTCGATATAGTTAGGCTCGTACACAAAACTGCGATGCGAGCTCCCTCTACGCATCGCAAGAACTTGCGAATTGATTCGCATCGCGCATCAAAATCTTATCTTCCCAAAATCTTCTTTGTTTCTTTTTCCTGTATCTCCTAAGCAATAACAGAAGTGCACACTTCTTTTTACGATCCATGTCACGACCTAGTTTTCAATTTAAAATACGTTTAGTACGGTTGACGGTCGTCGAAGGAATGGTCTCTCTGGGAGACGCCTTGTCGCTCGAAATCGCATCGTAGCAATACAAGTAGTTGACAACTAGTCAAATTCAATACTTTTATTGAAACAACACAAACAG